GGACGGGCACCGGCGGCAAACTTGGAGGCGGCCTATGCCAAGGGGGGCAGGGCTCCCAGCCAGGCACACCCTGCACCGCCTGGGCACCCACGGGGCGCCTGGCACCGTGCACGCCACTGGGTGCTCCGATTCCCTGCCCCGCCCCATTTCCCTCTGCCCCGCCCCATTTCCCTCTGCCCCGCCTCCGCCGCACGGTTCCTTCCCCAGCCCCACGTTCCTGTTTCTTTCCCCAGAGGCTGCTAACAGCTCCACCACCTCCAGGAGGGTGACTACAGTGATCGAGCAGCTGCTGGAGGGCAGGATGGTGTCCTCCCGCACCGAGGAGGTGGAGCATCCCGTCTGAGGAGTGTGGGAAAAGGCAAAGGAAGGCGGATCCCTCCCACCAGTCAGGCCCCAGCTAGCCCGGCCCCAGTGATCCCCTGCTTGTTCTTCTGTGGCCATGGATTCCAATAAAGCCAGTGGTGCAGCGTGGGCCCAGCGTGGGGCTGTTCTGTGGGGCTGTCTGGGGGGAGGCCTGAGGGAGACCCAGCATGTGAGTGAAGCCAGGGTCTCAGCCCAGGGCGAGTGCACCAATCCCTGTGCACAGCCCCACGTGCCCCTGCTCCCCTGTCCCCCATGCACAGCCCCACCTGCCCCCTCTCCTCCATGCATGGCTCTGCCTGCCCCTGGTCCCCACTCCCCCCAACAGGCCCTGGGCCCCTGACCATTGGCCCGGCAGCCACGGCTCTGAAGCCAACCCCAGCCTGGGGCCAGAGAGGGGCTGCAGCTCAGCACCCCTCCCGCTAAAAATTGTTGCAGCGCCACTGCCCCTAGGAATGCACAGCCCCACCTGCCCCCTCTCCTCCATGCATGGCTCTGCCTGCCCCTGGTCCCCACTCCCCCCAACAGGCCCTGGGCCCCTGACCATTGGCCCGGCAGCCACGGCTCTGAAGCCAACCCCAGCCTGGGGCCAGAGAGGGGCTGCAGCTCAGCACCCCTCCCGCTAAAAATTGTTGCAGCGCCACTGCCCCTAGGAGAGATCCCGTCCCTCTGGGTATGGCAAGGTCCCAGGGAGAGATCCCAGCAGTCCTGCCTGCAAGCACTAGGGGGCAGCAGCTACCTGGCTCACCCATCACCCCCTGGACCAGGGGGCTCTGAGCCCAGCTGGGCTCCTGGCTGGTATTTGTGGCCCCGGTTCGGCAGCAGCTTTGGGAGCGGGCCCTGCCCTGGCCCTGGGGGAGGTGGAGCCGGACAGTTCCCAGGGCCCCCAAATGTCTGCGAGGCAGGCGGAGGAGACTGGGAGAGGGAGCACGTGGGGCACAGCTCGGCACAGGCAGCTCCTGGTGAGCAAGCCCCAGGCAGGGCAGGACGGGTCAGGGTTAACCATCAGCCAGGGCAAGGGGGGGCAGAGTATGGGGACTGGCTTCTGGTCCGCACCGTCACAGGGAGCAGAGATCTGACTGCGGGAATCTAGGCCGCTGGGCCCAGCCCTGCGTGGGGAGGTGCCAAACGGCGCTTTTCCAGCCCTATTTGCCACGGCTCCAGCGCTCAGTCACTCCCCACCCCCTCCAGGTCCCCTTGGAGCTTGAGCCGTTTGAGGGCTGGTGATGGGGCGGCGATGCCTTTGGCCCAGCAGTGCCCCCCCATATCCTAGCCGGGGTGCAAGGGGGGGGTTGGTTCACTTTTCCCTGCCACCTGCTTCTACTGAGAAGCCCAGTGATGCGCAGGCTAAAAGCCAGGACGCCGCCTGGGCGTTATCTTCCCGGCATGGCCACTGGGTGTCAGCACAGACCAAGTATGCACACAGCCACCCAAGGGCCACCTGGCCCAGTCCCAGCTCCTCGCGCCCCTGCCTTGGAGGGACAATGCCCCCCACCCCAGGCCGGAGCGGACAGCCCAGCCGGCCTCATTCCCTCTGGCCGCGATGGGGAGAGCAGGGCACCCACAGTCACTTTGGGTCAGAGTCATGACAGCCGCCCATTCGGGATGTGAGCCCCCCGCTGCCTGTGGCGGAGCTGAGCTCCAGGGAACGGCCGCAGGCCACACAAGGCCTTTCTGAGGCTGGGAATCAGGCCCCGGTGTCGGTCGGGACGCCCTAGGGGGGGCCTGTGGGAGGAAAGGGCCTCAGGGCACATGAATCTCTCACGCGGCGCGGGGCTGCAGGGTTGGCAGCCGGAACGGGCGCCTGTCAGGACAGCCAGAGAGGTGTCAGCACCGGTCTCCAGTGGGACGATCCGAACAGGGCATTGGCTGAACCAGCATCCCCAGCCTGTGGTTCGGAGACTGGCTGCCTAGGCCTTACCCAGACGCAGAATACGCAGCTGCGTAGGGCACCCAAACATTCGGGGCACCCCTGGGTCTTAATGCCCACCCACCCACCTCTTCCTATCCCTGTTCTGTGGCTCGGCGTCCTCCGGAGAGCATCTAGGTAACTTGCAAGTGACAAAACCTGCCCGAGCGATTAGCAGAACCTGGAACTAGCGAAAGCCAGTCAAGGGGGAATGCAGCTGTTTAATAGGCATGTGCCAACCCCCGGTCTACACAGTCAGTTCCTGGATTTACTGGGTGAGCCGACAGGGCCTTCGTCTAAAATTTGCTTTACAAATATTTCACTCAAGTGGTGCTGAAGATGCTAAAATTGCCATCGGGCCGGGATACCAGCTTAAACAGTGCGGCTTAGAGCCCCGTAAACCCTAAGAAACCAACCAGTCGTCTTGCGGCATCTCAGAGACTAACAACGCTGTCTAGAGTATCCGGAGCTTTCGGGGGCCAAGCCCACTTCTTCCGATGAGCGTGAGTGGAGAAAAAAGGGGTTATGGGCAGCTCTGCCAGCAAAGAACCTCCTGGAGTCTGGCCAGCAACGCAGAGACCTTCCAAAGAATCCGCCCTCGCCTTGCCTTTCCTTCCCTTCAGGGGGGCCTTGCAAAGTCTGGTCCCCCCTTTCTCCGCTCTGGGGTGCGCAAACCTCGCTTGTCCACAGGATGGCAGCAGGAGAATTCTAATCAAGCTGGGGTCAGGTCCCATGAGGACCCGGCAGGTGGCGCACGCTGAGTTTAATACAGCATCTGGTGAGGCAGGCATTGCGGAGGGTAGGAAGGCAGCCTTGCCTAGTGGGGAGACCCACATCTATTCCTTGGACAAATCCCCTGCCCGCCCACCCTTGGGACTGTAAGTTCTTTGGGGCAGAGCCTGGCTCTCGCTGCGTCTGTGCAGCGCAACGGGACCCGGCCTCAGTTGTCCCTGTCGTTGCCACTGTCGTATGACTTGTAGCAAAGGCGTTTTCCCTTCTCCCCGGCGTTTACTGCTCGTCTGCAGACTCTGCCTTGCCCGTGGCGCTGGGCTCCCTGCGCTCGGCTTGGTTGGTGGCACCGAAGACCCAGTGGGAGTGTTGGGTTCCATGTGCCACGGGCCTCGCCTGTGCCTGGGCTGGGGTGTGGCTCCTGTCGTTGCCACTGTCGTATGACTTGTAGCAAAGGCGTTTTCCCTTCTCCCCGGCGTTTACTGCTCGTCTGCAGACTCTGCCTTGCCCGTGGCGCTGGGCTCCCTGCGCTCGGCTTGGTTGGTGGCACCGAAGACCCAGTGGGAGTGTTGGGTTCCATGTGCCACGGGCCTCGCCTGTGCCTGGGCTGGGGTGTGGCTGGGGGGGGGGGGGGCCGGGC